ATGACATCTATTTTTAAAGAAATATGAAATGAATGACAGTTCATAGTCATAAATATTGGCCACAAAGAAAGAGAGATAAACCACTGTGCCGAAGTCCTGAATTTTCCAAATTCAGGTGAGAAAGGCAAAACACGTTTCTAGAGTCACTACTGATATTCTGCCTCTGGTTTACTAAATAGGCTGTCCTGTGAAACATTCTTATTATTTGAACCTGATGATGATGACTAGCACAGCAGCCCTTAGCAAAAATCTAGGGAGTCTTGCAAGAAACAACTAAGTCATTCTGAGAAATACAGAAAGAAGGAGGTGATGTAGCATTCTATTTGATAAAAAAAACCCTATCATTAAATGAAGAAGTTACAGTCCAGTGTTCCTCTATGGAGAAATATTTTGAAAAAGGACTAATAATAATGTTCAATAAGTAGTAGCATATGAGTAAGTGTCAGTACATTAATTTAGGTTCATCATTTAAAAAAAAAGTCAGTAGGAGTTAAGTGTTATACATAGCTTTGAAAACATCAACATCAGACCAGTGTTTTCACTAATACCATGAGACAGCCATAAAGCAGATATGGTGCTCTGAAGAGCACTGACAGAACACAGGTTTTATTGTCCAGCACATATAATGTTGGTGTAAAAAGACAGAATGCTTAATCTTTCTTTCTCCCAAAGTCTCTAACTCCCTGCTACTGTTAAATTTTCTGAGATCTTGATTAATGAAAGAGGCATGGCTAAACTATCCTGCATTGTATTGAAAATCTCAACTGTCAACCTTTTGCATGAAAGTTACAAGGAGGAAGACTGTATCTGTCCTTGAGGAGAGGAGGCAAGAGAAGCTTCTGAGCCTTTCCTTATGAGGCTCTAAATGGCAGGACTTGCTGTAAGTATGAAGAAAAGAGATAGAGTCCAAACAATGTGATGAAGCTGCATTTGAAAAGGGGAAGAAGAGAAAGTAAAAAGATGGAAGAAACTTAAATTCCTTTACTCATATAGATTTTTCTTTGTCTCAAAAAGGAAGCAACCAAAAATCTGTATAGTTTTTTATTGGAAGATTTTTTTTTTCACCTCTACACAGTAATACAAAGAGCTTGGCTCTGGTCCTTCAAGAATATAAGGCCCTTAAATTAGGAAAAAAAAAAAAAAAGAAAAATAACAAGTTATTGGAGGAGATGTCTCCAGAAACATTTTAAACTGATTATAGACATCTGAAGCTATTCTGTTATTGAGAGAATAAAAGGCCACTACTATTTTTATAAATGTAAGTATTTAGTATGTAAGCATTTATTAGTAAGATATTTATTTTAAAAACTTCAAAAGATATTGAAGTAAAACACAAAGCTATGTCTCAAGATAATTCAAATTAAGTAGTGCTTTCCAATTACCCAACTGCAAAAGTCTTAACTTCCTCCAAGCTGAAAATCCTACTCTTCTCAGACACTAAGAAAAGTTCCCATTTAATTCTCACATATAATAAAAGAATAGTCATGATCTAAAAATTGGACCTTTTATATAATTATTTATGAATCATAAAAGATCTGTAAGCCTGTAATGCATAAGCTTTGTGCTGTAGAAGAATCAATCAAAGAGCCAAGAAAAAAAAGGTTATTTTTAATGGTATATAATAATAACAAATTACTTCCCAGTGGATTTTTCAGTTTCATTTATATCTCTGGGAAAGTATAAAATGGTAATTTTTGTCTGTTTTAGAATCCAACAATGAGAATGTTTTGAAGTAATTTTGGAGCTGTAAAGTAGAATGTCTAACAGAAAAAAAGCAAAATTATATATTTTTATTCTATCAGTATCTGTTAGCTATAGCGAACATAATTTACACACTCACACTATGATATCTCATACAATATAAAACAGCCCCTTAACAACTTTTAGCACCACATAACAACCTGAAATCTCCAGAATTTATAATTCAGTTCAAAACCAATTCAATAAATGTATCCTTGAATAAAGTTCTTGAACCAAAGGCAACAAGTCAGTATAAAGTATACCTCTTTATGAAGAATGCATCTGTAAAGGATGGAGATACCTGCATTTTAGCTCCCCCTCCCCAAATATCCAACACCCTTGTCTTGAATTAACCAGAGAGAAGGGTAAAATATTGACAGAAAAATTGTGGCAAAGAAATCAGACTGCTTAACTGGAGACATTAAACTTAAAATGTTTTCATGGGGAAATCTCACCTATATTTGCTGTCCTAGTGAATATTTCTCTTCCATTTGCAGCTATAGAGACCACCGTCTTTTCCAACAAGAATTCATTATCATTCAGTTCTCAAAGGGAAGCAATCACTGAACCAATTTTTCACTTTCAGTATTTATCATTTATTCAAAAGGAAACTAGTCATTTTTTGGAGACCAGTATCAAAATGATGGCATACATGAACACTGAGTAAAACAGTCAAAAAAGAAGAAATGCAAGTAAACTATAGGAAAGGAGACTGAAAACACACAAAGCCTGATCTAAAGGCTTCAGTCTCTGTTCACAGTGTAGAATTCCAAGCCTGAGACTGACATGATATGCTGAGCTCTGCTCAGATAGCATTATCTTCATTTCACTTACACTTTTGAGTCCAAGCAATTATGTAAAGTGACAGATTTAAACAGTTTACTTAAAAATTTAGGTTCTATTTGGTACTTTTTATCTTTATATAAATTGTGCATCTTCATTTCTACACACACAATATACATAAATTATCCATTTTATTTATTCTTGAATTACAAATGCTACAAACTATCCTTGTAAAGATATATACTATAGTACCCTTTCTTTCTGAACTTAAGTGACTGATGGTTAAAATATAGCAAGCAGATTTAAAAAAAAAAATTCTAAAAATATTTTTCAAATAGATTTAAGTACTATGGCAACTTTCAGAACTCTGTCTGTATTCTGTAGTCTATTTATTTTAATCAGAAACTCAGGTTGAAAAATGCAGACAGAATCATTTCACCTTTCCAAAAGAAATAGTAATTGAGTCTATTACATTATTTTATACAAAACAGAACCTTTTTGACACTTTAAAAAATATTCTCTAAGGGAAAAGAAAGACTAAAAAGCTAAGCTAATGGGCCAAACGAAGTACTAACCATATGGAAACATCAAATGTGGTAACTGCCTATCTGGAATTCCTCTCTAAATTCTTGTGCATCCGTTCTGAGGTCTGAAGTGTTGCTTGCTAATAAAATGTACCAACAACATGCATGCAAATAAAGGGCACAGATGCATAAATAAATTGCATGTATTCAAAATAAGAACAGATAAAAACAGAGAAAATTTTAAAGGAAAATTTCAACAATTGAGAAATTGAGAGAGACTAGTAAAAGTTATGATCCAGGGTAAAAAGTTAGACTACATCTTCCATGATGCACTAAGTATAGTATCTAAACTTTTTTGACTCTTAAGTAAATATCATTTCAAAAGCTAAAAAAAAAAATTAATCTAAGTTTAGTTAAATGTTATCTATGGGAAAAAGGAACACATGTTCCATTCTGTGTTATCAAGAGGAAAGGATTGGAAAAGCTCCTCTTCCACATACTTCACTGCTGCAATTTCTTCAAATGCATTTTATTTCAAGATTATCTTAGTGAAAAGCTTCGGAGGCCATACTAGTGCTTGTTCAAGAAAGCTTTAGGGATGAATAATAAAAGCATACCAAAATGTGATTTTTCTTTGCTTCTGAAGAATTATATAAGAAATACTTCCACAATATCCACTCCAATCATGGAAAATTAGTTCCAGATGATGATACTACCTAACAACCATGAAATCTAATAACTATGCATGCCTATGCATTTATACACATGTGAAAATATGCATGTATAGAGATGGACAGAGTCTAGGTAAATACGTTTGCTTTCTATGTATGTGTACTAGGTGTAACTCACACACACATTTAAAGATAATATAAATGTAATACTCCTATGCATTCTTCTTAAAAGTGTGAAGCTAGGCATAATCAACATCTGTTGCAACAGCAATACCAGATTATTATTTACTAGAAAAGCACAGAGATAGCAACCCTTCTAGTAAATATTAATATTTTGATTAGCACATGTTATGCCCATCTGCTGAAATCTTAAAGCAAATTGAAACAAGATTAGTGAATATTTTTCTTCAAGTTATTCATGTAGTTTCTGCCATCATTAGGAGGTTTCACTTGAAATAGCTATAAAACAGTCTCCCCTTCTTCCTATTTTAAATGACAGTGATGTGCAGAATAAGTTTTATCTTGTTATTTGATCAAATGTCTCTATATAGAGAGCAATTCACCCAAATAAATGCAAAAAGGGACAATGACATAATTTTCAAATTGACTAAAATGTTTCTAAGAGACTGAATTGAACTGACATGACCAACTGGGAAAGCATGCTTTGAAGGACATGAAGTAATGCCTGCCTTACTCATTTACAAGTAATTGTAATGTTATCTGTTTTGACGCACATTGCATTACTTTGCTGCTTCAGTATATGTTTATATTTTTGTCTTACTGTTTGAACCTTACAGTTAATGCTTCAAGAAAGATGTTCCTCCTCTTTGTGTATATCAAATAATGTATGTGTTTACACTACATACACAGAAATTTCTCTAAGACAAAGTCTCAGATCCACTATTGAAAGAGGCCTGACTTCTATTGATTAATGAAGATGTATGTTTTGTCACAAAAAACCATATATTTGTTCTCAGAAATAAATTCTGAATACTATCTATGCTGTATTTTGACTTAGGCATATACCACGGAAGAGCTAAACCAGTTTGGCAGAAACAAACACTGCCTATAGACAAAACAAAGATGCAGAATAGTCTTCGTTTAAAAAACAAATTCTACATTATAGAAACCATTGATGTGAATCTACTTGCATTACTTCTTTAAACATCTGCATTTTCCAAAACAGTACTATTCAAATGGCATTATGATAAAAGTTATACAATTTGTATAGATAGAATTGAAATCTAAATGGATAGTAGAAAGGTTCCAAAACTTAACTTACATGATCAATTAGTTCACGAACCATTCCATTCCACTGTCCACTGGCATCTTCCTGGGCTCCATATTTTCCATCCTCCACCAGTCTAATCTCATAGGAAAATCCAAGGATAGTAGACAGCTCCCTGAGGAGGTCAATGCAATAACCTTCAAATCGATCATTTCCATACAAGGGTTTGTCAGACTTCTTGAACATAACATATGGCTCTTCCTGTAAAAATTAAGAAGACAGAATGGATAATGAGTGTCCCCACACCTTTCTTTTCTTTTTAACCTGAAGTAGTACACTGTCATGATACCACTCCCTGTACAAAGAACAAAAATGAAAAGCAGATCCTTTTAGCTTTTGGTTATATCTGCCTGAAGCCTTTATTTATCTTCAAATTGAAGTTAGTCAGAGACCCTCTTTCTCATTTTTATTTGAAAAAATGACACCGTAAACACCATAGACATATCTTCAAGGAATCCATATAAACACTGTTGTGGTTTAACCCCAGCCAGCAACTATGAACCACACAGCCGCTCACTCACTCCCCCCCAGTGGGGTGGGGGAGAGAATTGGAAGGGTGAAAGTCAGACAACTCCTGGCTTGAGATAAGAACGGTTTAATAATTGAAGTAAAATAAAATAGAATGATAGTAGTAGTAGTAGTAATAATAATAATATAATACAATAATAATGTTAATGTACAAAAAGTAAAATAAAATAGAATGATAGTAGTAGTAGTAGTAATAATAATAATATAATACAATAATAATGTACAAAACAAGTGATACACGACACAATTGCTCACCACCCCCTGACTGATGCCCAGCCTGTTCCCGAGCAGCAATCCCCTCCCCCCTGGCCAACTCGCCCCAGTTATATACTGAGCATGATGTCATACAGTATGGAATAGCCCTGTGGCCAATCTGGGTCAGCCCCCCTGGCTGTGCCCCCTCCCAGCTCCTTGTGCGCCACGCAGAGCATGGGAAGCTGAAAAGTCCTTGACTGGTGTAAGCACTACTTAGCAACAACTAAAACATCAGTGTGTTATCAACTTTATTCTCATACTAAATCCAAAAGACAGCACTATACCAGCTACTAAGAAGAAAATTAACTCTATCCCAGCCGAAACCAGGACAACACTAAATTTAAAAGTGCTCCATAACAAGTTACATTATACATTAACATTAAATGCATTGTTTAGATGGACACGGTAAGCCTCTTAAAATGCAGAAACAATGTGCTCTGGCAACTGAAAAAATTCATTCAAACCCCAAACATCAATCAAATGCTTTAAGTACTACGTTTTACATTTTTCTTTACACAACTATTTTAACTGTTTTCTCAATGTTTTGCTAGGTAAAGCACAGGAAACCCACAGGGGGAGGAAAAAGTCAGTGAAGTCACCTACTGTTCTGTTGCCTCAAGTTATAACCAGCTTGGATAAGGGCTGCCATTTACAAGACTACAGCAAAACCAGAAAAAAGTTAACTCAAAAAGCAAATTCTATAATATACATTCCAGGAAAACTGAATTTATTTTCTTTAAATGTTTATCTTCTAATATTTAATTTAAACTACAAAGTGACTTTTTTGCATAACATGATGTGCAAATAGAATAGCAAACAAATTAAAATGATTGGCAGAATATTTATAATTATAGGAAGAAATAACATTTAGCAAAATATAGGATTTTTACATCTGTTTTTCAATATAGGATAAACTTCCTCAAATACAAAGCTGAATTTATTTCTGAAGGTATAAAAAACTCTGTTTCAGATGTAAAAAACATCAGACTTGTACGTCCCATATATAACATTCTATATATGCCTCTGTAGGCATTATGAAATTCCTATGTAGGTTGGAATGCTCGTGTACACAGATCCTAGACATTTGCTCTCTGAGTTGTTCAGATATTTACAGAATCACACATCCCCCCATCTCTCTGGAATCTTGACAAGATTCTTGACAACAGTTTTGTTTCTGTCTTCCATTCCATGCAATCCTGAATTATATGGGGCAGAATTTAAATATGTGTGATATCAGGGTGGCAGTATAATTGCCAATTCATGCTTTTATGTCTCCTTTACTTAGTAAGGACAGCAGGATTTTCTTCACTGAGCCATCCAGCTCATCCATACATTTTCGCATATTTTCCTGGAGATCATTATAGTAATCCTCAATCACTTTATCTGTTCTGCAAATGCTTTTTTACACTTTGTTAAAAAAAATCCTGCAACACTTTCTGGAATTGATAGCTCCAGCTCCATACTCTTTTATTATTCTTTACTGTGACCAGCTTGGATAAGGGCTACAATAGTCTCTACACTACTATTTAATAATTACAATATTTTATTATGGAAAAAAACCTTTTGTTGAGAAGACTGATCAATGTTATTAATACTCTCTTAATACTTTCACAATCCTTACATTAAGCTGTTACTTAAGGGCTCTTGCTGCTTTATCTTATAGTCTTCCACTGTCCAAATCATTTGCTTTTTCTGTTCAGACCTTTTATTTGCCATACAAAGCATTTTCTTACGTAGCTTCAACAGGATTCATCTGCGATTTATCAGGAAGGTTTTTGGCACTTATTAATCCCAAAGTTTTCTCTAGTTCTTCTCTTTTTCCTCTGGTAATATACAATACACATTCTAAATATTGAACATGGCATTTATGTATTCTGGACAAGTCCATGCAAAGGATCTACTACATGCTTTATTTGTTGAAGTTTAAAATTTATAGTATGGACTAATGTAAAACTGATTTCCAAGAACACTTTCAGGAAAGTGTCTATGCATTAAACATATGATCACCATGGCTTCTTGGGGGATTATCACTTCCACCAAAATCTTTCACAAGGACAATTATCATCATTTAGGTAGACAGAGTATTTAAACTGAGTGATTTGTAAAGATCAGCAACTGGTTTATACTTATTTTAATATTGTTTACAATTTAATTTTGTCCTTCAGCTGCTGAAAACGTGACCATTAAAAATTACTAGACCAAACTAACAAAAAAAGCTCACAAAATGAATTGGTCAGACTTGTTTTCAGAATGTTTACAAAATATTCTTTAAAATCTTCGAAACACCTTTATTATTGCTTGGAATGCAATGAATGTCTTGAAGTAAAAGCCATCGAATAAGCACTGTCTATACACAGACGCTCCAAGAAAAAGATGCCTGAATAAATCCTCATGCAGAGACAATGTTTCCAGAAAATGTGCCTAAATTAACTTAGGCTATAGGAAAGGGACTCTACCACGTATTTTTATCAAGTATGCTTGTCCTGAAATAAAAGCAACCAAATGGAGAGTTATTGCACTTGGAAAAACAACCCTTTTCTTCATCCAAATTAATCTTGCTTCTAGTTTAGCTTATTCTTGATGTGAAATTTGCCAACTTTGTAGCAAACCTTTGACCAGCTCAGCAGTAAGGAATTACCCAAATTAAGTTTATACATATAGAAATACTTAGAATATGGAAATAAATTAAAAGATAAAGGGCGTAGGGAGTAACAAGAGAGATGAAAGGGATGTGGGTAAATAAAGTTTTGATATCATTAGCTTACATTTGAAATTGGGAAGGTAGATAAATTGATGTTTTCTCACAAAATTTAAATCATAGAAGTTTATAAACCTTGTGCAAGAACAAGGTGAGTCTAAATTACATATACTCAAAAGGATTATATATAAGCATACATCTAATTCTACAGCTAGATAATTGATAGAATTTTATGTAAATATTTTCAGAAAAAAGCAAGAAATGGAAAGGATGTAATTTCAATGCCAACAGAGAGATATACTGAGCAACAGTATGCTTATGTATCTGTGCTCAGAAACATGCAGTACACTCCTCCAGCTTTCAGTGTATACCTCTATCACCAAACCATCAAATTTAATCTGAAATCAAACATTGGCTTTGTTTCAACTGGTTATATTTCATATGGATAGCTTTTTCTCTGAAGGGAAAGTCTTCACACCACGAGTTCCTTTTAAAATAGGACAGTTTAGAGGAAGAACGAAAGCAAACAACTAGAAACTTTGATTTTTCACTGGAGGTAAACTGCCAATATCTCTATTGTCTCAGGACAATATTGTCTCAGGACAATAGAGGTAAACTGCCAATATCTCTATTGTCTATCTCTAATGTCTCAGGACAACAGTATAACAAGATAACCCTCTTTCATTTTTTTTAGAAATTTGAGATATACTGCAAATAAATTCTCTTTGGTGCTAAGCACCCACATTGCACCTGAAGGAGATAGTCACATGAACAGTTAGTAGTCCGAAATGTTCAGTTTGGCTAATTAATTCTATGAACATGAGCTTGGGTTATCTGGAGAATGCAATCACCCTTTTACGCATGGGTGGTTGTAAATATTCTGTCAGTGTAATACAGGTGAGCAATTTGGAAAAATTTAGCACTACAGAGCTGAAAATAATTTTCTTGCATATGTCAAGACTATTTTCACTGGTTCTCTCAATAACATTACAGCACCATTATTGTTACACCAGTTAGATTTCAACATGTGAATATTAAAAACAGGTCTTCCAAGTATGAGCTGTCTTTATGATTTTCAGCAAATTTCTGCTAAGTTAGCTGGCTTCTTCAATCTCATCACATACATATGTGATTTATTCAATGACCATAGAACAAGAACATATACCATGTGTGACTACAGTACTTTGAGTTTGTTTGGGAAACATCAAGGTATGGCATCATAACCATATTTTTAAAGGCTGTTGAAGAAAAAACAGGAAACTAACCAACTACTCACTGTACAGGGGGTCACTCAACTTGACCATGTATACCAGCCTACTGAAGCTGCTCATGGCTGCTAACATGACAGAAGCGATCTTTAATATGTGTATTACACTGCCACAAAAATGAGTGTTTGAGTGCCAGAGCAGAATTTATAGGGTATGCAGAATTTATATTCTGTAGTTCTAAGTACCATCTTAATAACATTAAAGGGAAATATACCTTTAAAGCTGTGTATGGTCTTGTATTGTGTTCCTGAAGCTTGACTGTAGTTTGGATGCAATAAGTTGCAATAAGATGTTTGCTTTTCAAGTGCAAAAAGTATCATGACTACTTATGAAACAGTGGTCTGATTGTCAATGATTGTGTGACTTTACTGTTTTTCTTGCCCATGGGGATCTTATGTGGAGTGCAAGTTGGATCTTGCATAGGAAAGGTGCCTTCTAAAAACCACCAGGTC